TAAAAGGACCTTGTCCACAATAAACACAGGAACTTTACAAAAATGCATATAGACCTATAGTTATAACCTAAAACTTTCTTCTAGGTATGGAGATATTAGCAAAGAGCCCTTCCCTTCATCCTTCCTCTTCTCCCTCCTCCACCACGCCAGTGACTAAATACAGAACACCTGGCTGCAAGAGGCGGCTTAACAAAGGCACTCCAGACGACAGTCCTTCCTAACAACTAACAAGAGGGTTTTTATAAAGGGATTTACAAAAATATCTACTACTTTTTATATACTTTGGGCTTTATCCTTGAATGCACAGCAATATTAACTAATATGCACATATGTAACAATGGTTAGATAATTTTAATTTCTCTAAAGACTCATGGGCAAAGAACCCTTTTTTCTGTATTTCCTTCCCTCCCCCTTCCCTTGTGAACAGTCAGCATACTCTCCAAGACATCAACTTTAACAATTCCATTCCTCAAATACCACCATTCCTATAAATTAACAGAAAAAATACTTAAAGGGTGTTACTTTAACTCTTTTAACGTATGTTGTGCACTTTCAAACATCTAGAAAGACTAGCCATCTCAAATAAGGATTTGTTTGATTAAGCTGAACATAGAGGCTATGATCTGAAAGTGTCTTCTGAATAGGAAGGAACTTTCTGGCCTAAAACCCTTCCCCTTTTCATCTCTATCAACACAGTATTGATTTTTTACAGCAAGGAAGGGAGAGGGATAGAGAGTTAGAAACATCGGATCAGCTGCCGCCTGCACACCCCCTACTGGGGATGTGCCCACAACCAAGGTTAATGCCCTTGACCGGAATCGAACCTGGGGCCCTTGAGTCCGAAGCCGATGCTCTATCCACTGAGCCAAACCGGTTTCGGCGCTTAGAGAGGATTTTAACAATTTTACTTCTCATGTTTTCAGAACAGTTCTTCTTAGGAATCTAACACAAACTGGACAGCATGTATTTGTTTACTAACTACTTCTGTCATACGCTGGCAACCTCTGTAACATCTAGAAAGGCTAGATGATGTAAATTAGAACAGTTTGTCCTTCACATACAATATATGCACAGCTAAGTAAAACACAACGCACAGGCACAGGGAAGACGGTTAATCTTGCCTAACTGTGAACATCCTGGTATAAAGCCCTTTGCACTTTCCTCTCTTTTCTCCTTGAACCAGTACAAATATAATAACGTGTACTGCTCAGAGAGGTGGTTTGATCATCCCATTTCCAAAACATAGTATTTGAAATGAATTTTAACAAAGGGATATATACAAAATGTGTCATTTTACTACCTCTACTTTTAACATACTTTGTGCACTTCCAAACATCTAGAAAGACTAGATGTTTCAAATAAGGACTTAAGTTTGTCCACTATATACACAGTAGTGTTGAATAAACTACACACATGTAATAGTGGTTATATCTGAAAGTGTCTGCCTTATAGGAACATTCTAGTCTGGAACCCTTCATTTCCTCCTGACCACCATCATCTCAATGGGTTGAGTAGGCACATGTGTGACTTACAGGTAGATTTCACAATTTGATTTCCAAAGTCCTTTACAGAAGACAATCTTTCTTTTCTTTTTTTAAAAATATATTTTATTGATTTTTTTACAGAGAGGAAGGGAGAGGGATAGAGAGTTAGAAACATCTATGAGAGAGAAACATTTTTTTAAAATATGTTTTATTGACTTTTTACAGAGAGGAAGGGAGAGAGATAGAGAGTTAGAAACATCGATGAGAGAGAAACATCGATCAGCTGCCTCCTGCACACCTCCTACTGGGGATGTGCCCACAAAGAAGGTATATGCCTTTGACAGGAATTGAACCTGGGACCCTTGAGTCCGCAGGCCGACACTCTACCCACTGAGCCAAATCGGTTAGGGCAGAAGACAGCCTTCCTATGAATTTTAACATAAAGTGTACAAAATGTGTTTGTTTACTAACTCTACTTTTGTCATACATTGGCAACCTCTTTAATATCTAGAGACTAGATATTATAAAATTAGGATCTATTTGTCCAGTATATTCACAATATATACAGTAAAGGTAAATGAAATGCATGTAACATATAGAGCGGCAAAGGATAAGCTAAAGTTTTCTATTACACACTAGCAAAACATCTTTTTGCAATTTCTTCCCTCCCACCTTCTTCAACCTAGTAGTGAACAATTACATAGAGTACACTGTTCAGAGAGGTGATTTAACAATTCCATTTCTAAAGACAGTATTTTCTATCAGGTTTTAAAAGCTATTTACAAGAAGCTTTCTACTCCTTCTACTTTTAAGTACATCAAGCACTTCTACATGTCTAGAAAGACTAGATATTTCATATAATTCTTACTTGCCCACTCCCTCCCACCTCCCTCAACCTAGTAGTGAACAAGTACATAGAGTACACTGTTCAAAGAGGTGATTTAACAATTCCATTTCTAAAGACAATATTTTTTATCAGGTTTTAAAAGCTATTTACAAGAAGCATTATTCTGCTACTTCTGCTTTTAAGTACATCAAGCACTTCTAAATGTCTAGAAAGACTAGATATTTCATATGATTCTTACTTGTCCACTATGGGCACAGCACTGTTAAAACTGCACATAACTAACAATGGTTATAATCCGAGGAATCTACTAAATATGACCATGTTGGCCTGAACCATTCCCTCTCACTCCCTTCTCTTCATCACCAATCCAGTGGACAAGTGCAGGTGTGTGTAATATTTAGAGGTGGTTGAACAAATTCATATCCAAAAGTCATTTACACAAGACAAGCTTTCCTATGAATTTCAACACAAAGTGTACAAAATATGATAATTTTACTACTTTGTCATATACTGGCAACCTCTTTAACATCTAAAGACTAGCTATTGCAATTTTAGGACTTATTTGTCCATTATATACACAGCAAAACAAAATGCACATGACATATAAAAATGGTTTTCTCCTCCTGCATCCCCTATTGGGGATGTGCCCGCAACCCAGGTACATGCCCTTCACCGGAATCGAACCTGGGACCTTTCAGTCCGCAGGCCGACACTCTATCCACTGAGCCAAACCGGTTTCGGCTACTACCTCTACATTTAATATACGTTGGGCACTTCTAAGCATCTAGATGGAGTAGATGTTTCAAAAAAGGACTTAATTTGTCCACTATATACACAGCAGTTTTGAATAAACTGCACACATTTAACAGTTATAATCCAGAAATGTCTTTGAAATATGAACATTGTAGTCTAAGGCCATCTTTCCCTTCTGGCCCTCCTCCACCAACCATGTAGGCTATAATGCTCAAATATTCAGAAGACAATCTTTCCTAGAAATTTTAGCACAAATGTACAAAATGCATTAGTTAACTAACTCTACTTTTGTCATACACTGGCAACCTCTTTAACATCTAGAAAGACTAGATGTTGTAAATTAGGACTCATTTGTCCATTATATACACTATATACACAGCTAAGTAAAACTAAATGCATGAACATAAAGGACAATGGTTAATCTGCCTCATTTTGAAACACACTGGCATCCAGCTCTTTGCCCTTCCTTCTCCCTTGAACCAGTGCACAAATGTGTACTGTCAAAGAGGTAGTTGCCCATTTCCCAAAATAAGAGTATTTGATATGAATTTTAACAAGGTATTTATTAAAATGTCTTTTTTTGCCAAAACCGGTTTGGCTCTGTGGATAGAGCGTCGGCCTGCGGACTGAAGGGTCCCAGGTTCAATTCCGGTCGGGGGCATGTACCTGGGTTGTGGGCACATCCCCAGTAGGAGATGTGCAGGGGGCAGCTGATCGATGTTTCTCTCTCATCGATGTTTCTAACTCTCTATCTCTCTCCCTTCCTCTCTGTAAAAAATCAATAAAATATATTTAAAATGTCTTTTTTTTTTTACTACCTCTACTTTTATCAGGGACTTCAGAGCATATAGAAAGATAGGTATTTCAAAAAAGTATTTGGCATTGTCAACTATTACACAGTAGTGAGGAATAAACTGCACACATAAAACAATGGTCATAATATGAAAATGTCTTCTAAATATGACCAGTCTGGCATAGAACCTTCTTTTCTTCCTCCCCAAGGTCTTCTCTCCAGGTCCTCTAACCCACGGGGACGTGGCTGTGTCGCTCTGGATGTCGCGCGCTGTTTCTAAAGGTGGTCTGACAATTCCATCTCAAAGTCATTTCCAGAAGACATTTCTTTAGATATATTTTTTTAAATGGGCGTTTGCAAGACGTGTGATTTTCTAACTCTACTTTATCATACGTTGGCAACCTCTTTACATCTAGAAGGGCCTAGATGTAGCAAAGTTCTCTTGAAAGGTTACAGCCGCCCGAGGCCCGCTAACCGCTCCACCCGCCATGGATGGGGCTCCGCTCACCTTCGGCCCCGTGAAGGCCTTCGTCCATCGTGGTCCAGACGAGGTGAGGTCTCCTCCCACTGGGACAGAGGAGTCACCCAGGCGCCCATCAGCGCCTGCCGCTTCCAGCCCTGAGGGTCTGTGAGCTCTGGGCCTCCGAGGCCCTATCGGCCTCCCCCTGCCCATTCCAGCAGCGGGCATTCTTCTAGCCCCGGGACGCCCGTGGCTCAAGGCAGCGCGGCCTCGGGGTCTGGTCTCGTCCTGGGGCTGGTCGCGGTGGCTTGGCGGGGGCTCCGCTTAGAGATCCTGGAGATCCTGCGGTGCACAGGGTGCCCCTGGGGGAGGCCGCTGTCCTCAGGTCGCGGAGATGGAGGTGGGGGTGTAGAGAGAGATTCGCTGCCGCTTCCGAGCTTGGGCCTGGGCAGTGGGCACCCGCAGGGAGGGCTCCGGGTCTGCAGGACAGAGCCTGCTGCCCATCCGGGGCCCCCCAGTTCACCCGCCGGCCGGGGCCGAGGGCCTGGAGGGGCCCGGAGGAGGACTAAGAGGGTTGGAAATCTTGAGCGCTTCTCACTGCGCTCTCTGCCGGAACTCAAGCTTTCACTTCTTCCTCGCAGCTCTCTTAGTGCCAGTCTCCGCAGCACCTTCGGATAGTACCCAGCTGCTGCCCTGACTGGTGTGGCTCAGTTGGTTGGGCATCATCCCAGGCACTGAGAGGTTGCCGGTTGGATTCCCAGTCAGGGCACATGCTTCGTTTCCAGGCTCGATGAAGGGCGAGTGGAGGACAGTTGATTGATGTTTCTCTCCTTCTCCCTTTCTCTCTAAATTCAAGAAAAACATTAAAAACAACAACAACCAAAAGAAGAGAAACAACGCCCAGCTCCTCAGCATGATACACAAGGCCTTTCTTACTCTCAGCCTTGCTCACCTCTCCAGAATCTTCTCTGTTGCTTCTTACCTCACACGTTTTGTTCACCTCCACTTAAGCCTCTGTGACTCTATGCACCCTGTGCCCTTTGTCTCAAATGTCCTTCATGTGCCAAGATATCACATGGGATTCTGACTTGAACCATCACCAAGTCCTGGAGAGAGGGAAGGTAGACCTCCCCCAAAACAAAGTCAAGGCCTCTGGGGTACCCAGAATTGCTCCTGGAACTTGGTCCTATCTGTTGGCCCCTTGAGAAGTGGCCCAGATATCCTGGTACTCTGTCTCCATGCCTCACCAATTCTTGGCAATGATCTTACGGGTGTTCTGCTATGCAAAGAGAGGAAGGAAACATGGTGTGGGCCTCAGAAAAGAGAAAGGAAGGAATTGATATGGCTTTGGGGTAAGTTGCAGGGGAATTTCAACAGAGAAGCCCAGATTTCACTAGCCAAAACAGAACAAGTAGAACTAGCGACGAGGAAGGAAGTGGCTCAGGTTGGGTAATTCAGGAGTTTCTTATTCTTTCAGCCTCGTATAAAGAGACCTGAAAGCAGGGTTCCTCCTGTGTGAAGCCTGACTGCCCTCTAGAAGGGACTGCCCTTGGAGTGAGTTTGATTTCTTCTCCCATTGGAGGGAGACTTGAAGGCTGGGAGACTCAGGTGAGTAATTTTGTGGTGGGTGTACTTTTCTTTCTCTGTCTCTGCATCTCAGAGGTGGTAAAAACAGAAACACACACACACACAAAACAGAACACTGAGGCCAGCATGTGTGTGCAGCAAAGTACAGCAGTGAGGAGTATGATAGTATCCTGGGTACAGACAGGGGACTCCTGGGTGGTCTTAGAGGACAGGGGAGGAATTAAAAATGTTGGAGCGCACTGGGGTTACTACGAGAATGTGGATAGATATTGAATGAGGCCTGGAGTTTGAAGTGTACAGAGATTAAGATATTTAGATAAGAATTTGGGAGAATCATTGAGAATGGGAAAGGACTAAGAGGGTTGGGAATCTTGAGATGAAGCAGCCCGGGAATGGCTCAGGAGGCGGGTGAGCTCCCAGGGCAGTTCAGGTGTCCAGGGGAACAGTAGTTCAAGAGATCCAAATTCAAAGTCAAGCTCTGACTCCCTCTTCCTCTTCTACTCACTCCCTTCAGCCTCCATCATGTGGAACACCTCTGATGCCAACTTTTCCTGCTACCACGAGTCTGTGGTGGGTTATCGTTATGTGGCAGTTATCTGGGGGGTGGTGGTGGCTGTGACAGGCACCGTGGGCAACGTGCTCACCCTGCTGGCCTTGGCCATCCAGCCCAAGCTCCGTACCCACTTCAACCTGCTCATCGCCAACCTCACGGTAGCCGATCTGCTCTACTGCACCCTTCTCCAGCCCTTCTCCGTGGACACCTACCTCCACCTGCACTGGAGAACTGGTGCCACTTTCTGCAGGGTGTTTGGGTTCCTCCTCTTTACGTCCAACTCTGTCTCCATCCTCACCCTCTGCCTCATCGCCCTGGGACGCTACCTCCTCATTGCCCACCCTAACCTCTTTCCCCAAGTGTTCAGTGCCAAGGGGATAGTGCTGGCTCTGGTGGGCACCTGGGTGATAGGTGTGGCCAGCTTTGCCCCGCTCTGGAATGTCTATATCTTGGTGCCCGTAGTCTGCACCTGCAGCTTTGACCGCATCCGAGGCCGACCCTACACCACCATCCTCTTGGGCATCTACTTTGTGCTTGGGCTCAGCAGTGTCGGCGTCTTCTATTGCCTCATCCACCGCCAGGTGAAGCGAGCAGCACAGGCACTGGTTCAGTACAAGCTGCACCAGACAGATGTCCGCTCCAGCTATGTGGCTGGGACAGATGAAGCCGTGCCGGGTCATTTCCAGGAGCTGGACAGCGGGGTGGCATCAGGAAGGCCCAGTGAGGGGATTTCATCTGAGCCAGCCAGTGCTGTCACCATCCAGACCTTGGAAGGAGACTCGTCAGAAGTGGGGGACCAGAGCAGCAGCAAGGTCGCTCAGCAGATGGCAGAGAAAAGCCCTCCGGAGGCACCTGCCAAGACCAGGCCAACTAAAGGAGCCCACAAAGCTCAGGACTCTCCATCAGAGTCTGGGAAGGTGACTCGGATGTGTTTTGCTGTGTTCATCTGCTTTACCGTGAGCTACATCCCTTTCTTGCTGCTCAACATCCTGGATGCCAAGGTCCGGGCTCCCCGGGTTGTCCACATGCTTGCTGCCAACTTCACCTGGCTCAATGCTTGCATCAACCCTGTGCTCTATGCAGCCATGAACCGCCAGTTCCGCCAAGCGTACGTCTCCCTCCTACAACGAGGACCCCAGAGTTTCCGCAGGCTCCGGAGTTTCCGTAAGCTCCCTTAGAACTGTGTTCGGCACCAGAATCTGAGACCGTTTCATCCAGAACTAGAGTGGCCAGCTGGTATGTAGTAGATGAGAGTAAAACCTGTGGGCATTTTCACAGACAACCTCCCCTTCACCCCCAAACCAGACATCGCTATCCCTTGCTCAGTGTTTCAGCCCCAGGCTGCCCAAGGTGCATTATTAATTATTAATAAATGAATTCCATTCTTTTAATGTTCAGGTGTGGTCTTTGGAGAAGAAGGAAATAAGCCAGTGTTGGTTTGCAGCTGGAACTTAATAGTGGGGGGTTTGGGGGGGGACCCAGCCAGAGCAGGAGCAGGAAGCAGTGGGCCTCGGTCCGGACATCACCTTCAGCTGAGGAGTTTCCAGGTTAAAAAAAACATGTGAGTTTGGTTTAAGAGGATTAGCCTGACTTTTTTTAACTTCTCAGAAATGGCTCCTACCCCTAACTACTGCTCCCAGGATCCCCCTCATCCCTGCAAACAGATGTTTTTCAGTTTAAAAAAATATTTTTTTAAATTTAGCTTTGATAACCACTTCAAGTGAGGCTAGCCCCCTGACTCTTGACTTATCCAAAGAGAATGGTCCTGGGAGAGGACTCTCGCTCTGTGGAAATAAAACTGAGCTTAGCACAGTGGTTCTCAGCCTGGGCTGCACATTAAAATCACCGGGGGATCTTTTTAAAATCCTGGTTTCTGGGCCTCATCCTCCAGAAATTCTGTTTCTTTGTTATGGGGTGGGGCCACAACATTAGTAACAACGAAACAGAATTTCCAGAGGATGAGGCCCAGAAATCAGGATTTTAAAAAGATCCCCAGGTGATTCTAATGTGCAGCCCAGGTTGAGAACCACTGGCTTAGCAGGAGCAATGACAGTTCTAGTTGCCCTAGCAGGGCCACACTGGTTGGAGCTAATTCACCTGACCCCGAACTCCCCCCAGACTTGCTCTTGTCTGCCTGGGTTATGAAAGCAAAACAGAGACTAGTTAAGAGGGCTCAGGGGCCAGGCTGAGGGGAAATCATACCATCCCCCTCCTCCAGACTGCCCAGCATCCTGTCAACCTTCTGCAGGCTCACTCTCAAACTTAAAGCACCTGTCACCACCAGGTGACGCTGGTTCTCTGCGTTTTCTTTCTGGCTTCCCTGTGGAGGACACATGGTGTCAGAGGGATTGGGAGTCCAGAGATACCCGCTCCCCTCTCAGCCAGCAGGGGTGGAGACCCAGGTATCTGCATCCCTCTTCCTTAAACTTAGGGAGAAAAGTAAAGAATTAATTATACATGTATTATTCATGAGATGTTTACTGTGGACAGTGCTTGGTTAGGGTGGTGGATCAGGGTGGGCATTGGGGATGGAAGGTGAATCATGTTGACAGCAACACTGCTCTGGCTGCGTGCTATTCACCCCCCTGCCCCCAAGTCCATGGACTGAGAGAACAAAGTCAAGTCCAGAGAGACTCAGAGAGTGGGGTGGACAGAGCTAGGCTCTCACATTTAACACTCCAAGGGCCCAGGAATGCTGCCTCCTGATCTGGAACATGTGCTTCTGAAGTATCCTCTTCCACAAAAATCACAGCAGCCTGAATGGAATCAAGTTCAGGCGTTCAAGCTACTGAGGCTGGGGCCCAGGCAGGCAGAGTGAACAATAACAAGGACCAAAAACAACACGTGCCCAGGAGCGTAGAGACCAGGTTCCAGTCCAGGTTCTCTGATAATTAGCTCTGTGAACCCGGGCAGGAGCCTTGACCATTCTGGGCCTCAGGCTTTATTATCTGTACAAAAATGAGGGAGGAGTGCCCTCTTTTATGTGCCCTGGGACTGTCCTAAATCCTGTAAATATATTTTGTGTAATCCCCACAAAATTGACCATAAGGTATCTATTATAATATCTTTTTTACAAATGAAAAATAGACAATTTGGGTTAAGCAATTTGTCCAAAGTCAAAAGGCTATTAAGTGGTATGACCTTGAGTTGAGGGCAGAGAGTCTGAGCTCAGTCAGTACCAGCCCAGGTGTCTAACAGCAACCTTTCTAAAACTAGAATCATCTTGGCCAGTTTGGCTCAGTGGATAGAACACCAGCCCTCGGACTGAAGGGTCCCAGGTTCCATTCAGGTCAAGGGCATGCACTTCAGTTGCAGGCTCCATCCTCGCCCTGGTTGGGGGTGTGGGAGAGGCAACCAATCACTGTGTCTCTTTCACATCAATGTTTCTCTCTGTCTCTCCCCCTCCCTTCTACTCTCTCTAAAATATCAATGGAAAAATACCCTCAGGTGAGGATTAAAAAACAACAAACCCTAGCTGGTTTGGCTCAGTGGGTAGAACGTCGGCCTGTGGACTGAAGGGTCCCAAGTTAGATTCTCGGTCAAGGGCATGTACCTTGGTTGCGGGCACATCCCCAGTAGGGAGTG